CCAAATTCACCCTGCGGAGCCATTTCGATGGGATTCGCGCTCTGGTCTTTCACCCTGTGGAGCCCGTCCTGGTCACCGCCTCAGAGGACCACACGCTCAAAATGTGGAACCTGCAAAAGACAGCCCCTGCCAAAAAGTAAGAATCCCCTCACTCACAATTATGTTTTCAAAAGATGCTATTCCTGTCCGACAGAGGGATTTCTCATTGATTTTTGTTTTTCAAAGGAGAAAAAGTAACAATTTTAGATTTACTACAGTATCGATTAACTGTCCAATCCACCCTCATCTGCTCTGTCTGAGACACTAAGCACTCAGACAGCAGTGTAGTCTGTGTAGAGTGTAGTCGCTCCCTTGTCTCCTCGCAGCAGCATCATCAAAATGAAAAGTTTGGTTGTTAGATTTCAGTCCCATAAGTATCATAGCTTATTTTATTGCTGCACTGTGACACGGCTCAGCTACAGGAAGCTGTTCCTACGTGACAAAGAACTGACAAGACTCTGCTCGACGAGACTAATTTTGTCATAACACAGCTCCGCAGCCCATACACAGCCTCTAGTGGTGGGTTTATTTTTAGAGGCTGGAGTCATTTGACAGTCTAGGGTAATATATATATATATGAATATATAATACAAAAGTAACTATTGGCACAGCAGTATATTGTCCATCCATTTATAGGTTTATATAATGAATAAATAAATAAAAACACCTTTTTTCCTGAATTTTATCTTAGGCACATAAGAATTAACTGCTGCTTTTGTGTTTTGTATGGGAGATTAATGAAAGCACTGTTTGCCCACAGGAGTACGTCTTTAGATGTGGAACCAATCTACACTTTCAGGGCCCACAGGTAAAAACACTGCACATCAATAAAAACGTTTGTTTTCTCTTTTTGCTTTCCTGCTTGCTGAACATTTAATCAATATTTAAACCACAGGGGGGCAGTACTGAGCGTGGTGATGAGCAGTACAGGGGAGCAGTGTTTCAGTGGAGGGGTTGACGGAACTATCCAGTGCTGGAACACTCCCAATCCCAACATCGACCCCTACGACTCCTACGGTAACATTTTAGTCCGTTTTGTCTTTGCCGAGACATGAGGATTGTCAAATTAAACCACAAAGACTGACTTGAGTTGTCTTGTATTTTCTGTGACAGACCCGTTAGTGCTTCGTGGAGCGCTGAGTGGACACACTGACTCCGTTTGGGGTTTGGTATACAGCAGTGCACACCAGCGCCTCCTCTCCTGCTCTGCAGACGGGACTGTGAGGCTGTGGGATGCCAACACCACCTCCCCTGCCCTCGCCGTGTTCAACGAAAACAAGCGTACGGACCTGATTTCTAAGTTGTGATTTAAGTTTTTTCTAAATGTTAGTTTTTTTAAATGATTTGTGAAACTTACATTTCACTCTCCTTCTGTGTAGAACTGGGAGTCCCCTCCTCTGTAGACCTGGTGTGCAGTGAACCAGCTCACCTGGTCACATCCTTCACGAACGGGGAAATTGGTCTCTTCAACATGGAGACCCGTCAGCTGGTCCTCAATCTGGAGTCAAACTTGGAGCCAGGTAGGTTTAGAGCAGTGGATCACAAACAGTGGATGAACACAATGGTTTTAAAGTTGGGGAGGACAAAAAAAGCTTTTGATGTTTGTCTGGCTATGAACTCTAAAACATGAATCCTAAACCTTAACACACAAACCCAATCTCAGAGCCAGCCTGATGATGAATTGGCTTCTGGGGGCAACGGCAGATATCCGGGCCAAGACTCAGTGTTCTGTTCGCTGTAAACAACAATTCACCACACAAAACACAGTGATACTTTTTGTAGCCACTTTAGGTCCATACAGCATTTTGGCTAATCTCTATTAACAGCTATCTGCATATGAATGTGTCATGACACTGCAGTTTTTCTTGACCATTGTTTACAAACCAGAGGTACCAGACATAGTTTGTTATGTACGATTGTTCTTCTTGATATTAGCAAACTGTTATAAAACAAAACATTTGTTCTGTCTTTTTTGATTATATGGTTCAGGGTATATGTTTTGTTGGTTTGGTTAATATATATTATTTAATTTAGGTAAAATGTACATTTCGCTTTGAATTCATTCTCACCATCCTGCTGTGTGAGGACTAATGTATTTGTCTGTTTTTAACCAGGCACTCCCTGTCAGATCAATAAGGTCCTCAGCCACCCGACTCTTCCCATCACCATCACGGCGCAGGAGGACAGACACATCAAGTTCTTTGACAACAACAGCGGGAAGTTGATTCACTCCATGGTGGCTCACCTGGATGCGGTCACCAGTTTAGCTGTAGATCCTAACGGCCTTTATCTCATGTCAGGCAGTAAGTGTCTCTTAATCAGCAGCTTCTTACATTTGGTCATTGGTAGATATTCACAGTTTAATCATACACCCCTATTTAAAGATCCATCTGGCAATTCTGAATACCACACACTACAGACACTTTTAAGCCTCAAGTGACAGTAATGTTCCCCAGACACTATATTACCTCCATATGTTCCTCAAATGTCAAGATTTAGGACGCACTTGTTACTTATTGCTTATTAATTTACCAACTCCCCTCCTCCACAGGTCATGACTGCTCTATCCGTCTGTGGAACCTGGAGAGTAAAACCTGCATCCAGGAGTTCACGGCTCACAGAAAGAAGTTTGAGGAATCGATCCACGACGTGGCGTTCCATCCATCTAAATGCTACATTGCCAGCGCCGGCGCAGATGCTCTCGCGAAGGTGTTTGTATGACGCGGAGCGGCTTCTCTCCCTGCAGCCCCGCTCTCTGACTCAGCCTCCCATGATCAGGGACCAATAGAGACACAGCAGGGGAAGGAACTTCAGGCACAGGTCCAGTCCCACCTCACACAGCCCACTGGTTTCCTGTTGGACTGGCAGACTATGTAGCCGCTAGCCTCAAATGGGCCATGACTCTCCACAGGAGGGGTCGGCAGGGAGGCCAGGCAGGAGGTGAACTGCTCTCTAGTCCCTCGTCTACCATCCAGGCAGGCCTGGGTGTGAACGGTTATAGCGCCCCCACAGACAGACTACAACTCAACCTCCACAGCTAGGAGGCTCAGGACAAGTGTTCAAAGAGTGTGGAGTGGAGAAATGAGGTTTCAAGCCGGTCTTCTGCCCCTGTGACTTCACGTTCACCCTACAATCCCCCGGGCCCTCGACCTTTGCTCTCACACAAACCGAGGTCCAGGCCCTTATCCTCCAAGTCAGGTTTTGTGTTGTGTTGTTCCAGAAGCGTGGGGTACTGAAGGCTTCCTGCAGCTGTCCTGCCTCTCACTCCTTCTTCTTCTCTCGCTTCCCAGATTGACTCTGCTTGCTGGCCTGCCTTTATTTTCCTTTTTAAAACACGTATTGACAAATGTGCCTTTGCTTTAAAAAAGGTCTTGAAATTTTTATTTTAACAAAAGCTTGTTTTTTGGGGAACAGGGGGAGGGGAGGGGCACAGCGCAGGAAACGGAGCTGGTTGTCACAATGTTGTCGATTTTAACATTGGATGTAAAATTACAAATGCTTATAATAAACAAAATATATATTCAGTCTTAAAATTTACTGTGCAGCGTGAGTTTGAGTGCTCCTTTTTGATAAGTGTGGTTGGGGATAAAATTTTGTGCATTTCAAGGCAAAGCTGGTAGATACAGACCATTAACTATAATGCCTGTTTGTTAGATACAAGTAACTGTACACTTCAGAAGTAAGACTACAAACATATGTGTCCAAAGTAAACCACCTTGGTTATATAATTACAATTCAGACTTAGTTCTAAATGTCCATTTTAGAAAGAACTAATTAATTTTGGCCAGTTTGCTCTTGTTTGAACTGAATGGCTTGTACTGTATGTAGTTTTCCCCAATTGTGTGGACATGCTTGACTACAGTGTGATGTTCCATGTTCAGATATTTACAGTAGTCCAGTGTTTAGCAAGAAATTAGTACAGTACTGTAGGACTATTTGACACAATGCGTTAACCATTCAACACTGAGGGAAGAAAGAGAGGAGAAAACCATCCTGGGTTTGAAAAAAAACAAAACAAAAAAAAAAATCAATCAAGGTGTTGTACGTGTAGAGTACAGCTTCAAATGAGCCATTTTCTCAGTCACTGGTTTGTATATGAAAGTATGTTCAAAATAAAACCTGCTGTAAAATGTTACCCGGACTCTGATGTCGCTCATTTGACAAAACTGTTTGTTACCTTGCAGAAAACAAACGTGATCGTCGGTGCAGATCAGGAGGTTTTCAGGGTCTGATCCACAAATTCAAGACGTTTCTCATGGATTCACTCATTGCCTAAAACTTGAACCCTGCTTTTTCTTTGCCTGTATTTGTTCTGTTATCATCCCTGTCTTCTTTGTTTATCAGCAGGATTACGCATGAATTACCCGACAGATGTCCACGAAATTTGATGGAAGGATGATGCACGGTCCAAGGAAGAACCCACAACGTTTTGGTGAGGATCAGAACAAAAAGATGGATCCAGGATCTTTCTTATCAGAGGGCGTTTCTTGACATTTCCACCAATATCCGAGGGAAAAATGCATTCATCTAGATGATAAAAATCTATGATATATTAGTGTGTGTAATTTTGTACCGAACCAAATAAAAACGGGTATAGGCTTTTTATGCTGCTTTACGGTAACAAAAAGTGCCAGAAACCTTTAACTACCACCAATATGTTGCTGGGATAATGTGGGTACTGTGGGGAAACAACAGTGTGTATGCATCTTTCAATAGTTTTATAACAATGTCCAAAAGAAAGTGACAGATTTAGTGCAGAATGTAAGAGGACTGCCCTTGCATCACTTTGACACTGATAAGATTGTGATGTATTGATTCTCAGGCAAGGTCTGATGTGTTATGACGCACCTCTTGTCCTTTAATTTCAGATGGATGGACAATTATTTGCAGTGGTCATTATATAATGTTATCATGTGAACATCACACGGAATCTGGAAAATAGCCACTTTAATTTCTCTTCATTTTCTTTATTTTTATTAAAAATTGCAACAACAAAAAAACAACAAACATTGATCAATTATCTGAACAATAATAGCGAAAGGCTTTTAATATGCATATGTACAAACAGGACATAACAGAAAATCATAAATACTCTTCAAACAAAAGAGAAACGCCTGCGGTGCAACCACATGATTAGAAAACAAAGAGCGACGGGATGGATGGCGTTCAATCTTCCGTCGCTCTGCACAGAGATATACAAGCTCCTCTTTCCTCACAGCTCAATCGCTCCGTGTTGCCGACTCACCAGGTCACACTCACAAGAGCCGCGTTCTCACCTGCCACTCGTATATCAGCACCAATGTCGTACAGAGGAACTTTAACAATGTCCCTACTAACAAGTCTCTCCTCTTAGGAAGATCAAAATGCACCGTTTCTAAAAAAAGAATATCCTCTTCACCGAGAATTGTATGAAAAGCACCGTATTATTAAGTTTATGAAGTATGTTAAGCCAGAAGAGGAAGTGCTAGGCATGCTTTAAAGTCTACATTTCTCTGCAAGCACCATGTCCCAGTTAGGCAGCTTCTGTTAGTCTGGTACCACTTCTTTGTGCGGCACTTGTTATGAGGGGTCTATTAGTTGTTCATAAGGACGTTATTATTGAATATACATCGTTAATTGACTATTGTGTAAACTTTGACAAGTTGTTGACAGATGAATTTTGTTCCAGATGTTCTGCAGCTTCCCTCCAGAGGGTCAAAGGTCAATCAATACTTTGAGGGTTTGCAATATAAAGTGGGGAGTTTCATGCTAAATGGGGAATAACACCATATAAATGATTTATAATTGACCTTCAGAAAATTAGAAATCAATTTACTACGGTAAATAAGAACAACTCACAGACCTATTATAAAGGTGTCTCGTTCAAGAGTGGTACCATCATTTTAAATGTTCAGGAATCCTGTTCTTTAAAGGCACCGACAGAGAACAACTGGGACCATATGAGATGTCACTATGTCACTGTGTCTTTACTTTTAGCACCGTTTGGGACCAAATGCTGATTCACTTTAAGATTAGTTTTTTCGACCAAAACACACAATCCTCACCTAAATTAAGAACCTTTCCCCTCCCCGTTCAAACGTGGGGGAGCTGCAGCCAATCCAGCTCCACCATCTGGGCAACAGAGTGAGTAAATTTACAATCAGTGTCCCGTCAGGACAGCCCATGATCGGGACGTCCCTCTTTACACCCGCCCGTGCGTCCGTCCTCAGTTCCTGGGCTGTGAGTTGAACTCCTGGCAGATGTTGTTTATGATCTTGGACACAAACTTGTAGAGGTTGTCGAACTCGTCCACAAAGAAGGAGTGCTCCTTGTCGGGGTCCGTGGCGATGTACTCCAGTTCGTCCTGGGCTGCCCAGGCGATGCCGATGGAGTAGGCGATCACACCTGCAACACAGGGATAGAGGATTACACACACACACACACACACACACACACACACACACACACACACACACACACTGACACACACACACACAGGCCTCACATGTGTTTGTCACAGCTGCATGACACCTCACTGTTGACTGACACACACAAACACACTTAAAAACCTTTTTGTGTAACAGTATTGTTGATTCTTGGTCAAAGTGTTAATCCTCTTAATCCTAAAGTTTTAAAGAGTTGAGCTAAAAAAAACACTTTGCAGAATATGATCATTGATTATTCTTTTCTTGGCTGAGTGATGTATTGACCATATCTCCTTTTTCCAGATTCTGTTGTGGTTAACCTCTGACCTTGGCTTTGGACATTCAGTGCAGGCACCCTGACGTCATCATAGGAGCGTCCATCTGTAATGACGATCATGATCTTGCGTTTGTTGGGTTTGGATTTGCTGAAGAGCTGCTCTGCGGCGTAGGTGATGGCGGCACCAGTGCTGGTCCCACCGCTCCAGTAGTTGATGCGTTTAATGGCGTTCAGCAACTCGGCCTTGTTGTTGTACTGGCCGAAGGCGAACTCCAGCCTCTGCTCGTAGGTGTACTGCACAGCTCCGACCCGCGTGTCCGTGTCGGAGATCTCAAACTCTCGTGTGACGTTCGCCACGAACTGCAGCACGGTGCGGAAGTTGCCTGTTCCCACGCTGCTGGAGCCGTCAATGACAAAGGCGATGTCGTTGGCGTTGAGGCAGGTTTTGCTGCACATCAGGCGGTCCGTGTCACACACCCTCTTCACCAGGGGCTGCACGGCCTTCCTCAGGGCGAACCAGCTGGTCACAGGCAGGGAGTAGAAGCCGTTGGTCCGACACACGGCCTGTGGGGTGCAGGACAAAGTGAGTTTCAAACCTGTATGTTTGACTGACACACCTCTCAGACACATACACATCTGGATCTAGTGAATTTTAATGGTGGTGGTGGTTTCATAGTTTCAAATGAACATGACCGTGTGTGTGTGTGCGTGTGTGTGTGTGTGCGATTCAGAATCATGAGTCCGAGAAAGGCAGCAACTGGATCAGCAGGAGATTCAGGAGAGAAACAGCCAGCACTCCGACCATGCTCCACCTTGTCAACGAAGTTGGCCTCGACCAGATTTTGCTTCTCATTGTCGTCGGCGCCCTCGATGGTGACAAAGAATATGTTGATGCCAGACTCCCGGGCGTGACGAGAGGCCTCCTCCACCTTGTCTGTGGGCCAGCCGTCCACCAGCACCACGGCCACGTTGGGGGCCCCTCCACGGTTTCCATTGACATCGCTGAAGTACTGCTTGTTGATGTAGGAGAGGGCCTTTCCTGTTAAGACACCAGAGGGCAGCAGAGAGACGGTTAAACTGCATGAAAAGGCAAGTAGTTGAAACGCAGGCATGAATTGATGGAGTCAAACAAAAAGTGTTTCTTATGTAAAAGATATATTTTTTGGGGAGCTGTTCTGACCAATATGTAAAAAAGCACCCTTCTATAAAAAAATCCTGTTTGCCAAAAAAAACTTGACATAGCAGCCTGTGTATTTAGTAAACAAAAATACACACATCTCTATGCTGAGTGCATCGCTTTATACTATTACAAAAACTGTGATATCCTATCATTTAGTCTTGTCAGTGGTTTAAACAAGGCCGGTACCAGGGGAGGCTCCGAAGATGCTTTTATATTCGCTCACATTGTTTTCTGAGCAGAGAGCGCTTCTTACCCAAATAACACGTATTTGTATCAACATGCAACATTTAGCAATTATAGTTATAAAGAAAGTGGGTGCACTCTGACGCACCAACCAGAGCAGGCTTCACCCCCCAGGCGGGTGAAGCCAAAAGCTTTTTGGTCAGAGCAGAAGGAACAACATGACTTACAGGAGCAGGACTGTAATTTAGTCAGGAGCGTCTCGCAGCAGATTTAGACTTAATTCTATCCTTGCATGCGAAAATGTGCCTGGGTAGCAACCAACGTGATAACCGCAGCCGTTTCACTTTCACACTTGTGTCTGTAGGCATTTACTGTCGCTGGCAGCCTAACAGAGGGTCACTCACCCACATTTGAGAGGCCTCCTTTCTGCACAATCTTATCTACGGCCGACCTCAGCTCTCTGGAGTTGGAGTGAGACTTCAGACTGATCTCCGTCACGGGGTCGTCTCTTCAGACAAAGACAGAAGGTAATCAAATAATATTTTCCTCATCTATCAATGGTAAGTAATAACACAACAAGAGAAGGGAGGTTACCCGTATTGGATGAGGCCCATCATGGGTCCATTTACGCCCACGTTGATGGTCTGAGCCACCTCAGCCAGGAAGTCCTTCTGGATCTTAAAACGTCGCTTCCCGATGCTCCAGCTGCCGTCCATCAGGAAGACCAGGTCCACCTTACAGTCTGCAGGAACAGGACACACCAGGTCACAGCAGTTTCAGTTAGCAATGCATGAGCCAGGTTTGTGTCACATGTCTGCCAACAGCTTCAGGCTCTCCCACTGATTTTTGGAAACTTATGTAAACAAGGCATCAAATACGTCAGTACCACTTGTTAGGCCTAAAGCAAACATACATTGTATTTGATGGGTAACACTGAACATGAACACATTTGTTTACAGGGTATCTTTGTCAGAGATCTAGCATGGGGATACTTAAATGACCTCACAGGGATTATCAAACCATAAGGCAATGACATTTAACTAGAACATCAGTACCTCTGACATGGGGCCATTTAGATTCACTAGATCTGGATTTTTATTTGATCTATGAATTATTCTCTTGGGAAAATGTAAAAAAGAAGTTAAAAATAAAGTGTGGGTCCCCCCCGAAAGGCTGATGAAAACATATCCTCCTTGGCGGAGGTAAAATATTCATTTCATGGCAGCTTGCGTGTGATGCATGTGGGACATACTTGGGTCTCCATGTGATGCAGGCTCAGGGGCTCTTGGTCCAGGTTCTTGTTCCCTTGTGCCAAATCCTGAAAATTAAGAAACACAGATTTACTCTTTCATAATCTGGAGAATACATTTTTATAAATTTCACTTGACTGTCACTTTAAAGGGATGGTTCACCAAAAAATGAAAATTCACTTATTGTCTACTCACCACTATGCCAATGGAGGGGTGGGTGAAGTGTTTGAATCCACAAAGCACATGTGGAGTTTCAGGGGTAAACAGCGTTGCAGCCAAATCCAATAGAATTGATGTAATTGCCGACATTCAAATGTGACTCAAAAGGGCATCATTTACACCTTGTTGTATCCACCATTTACTTCAATTTTATAGGATTTGGCTGCAACACTGTTTACCACTCAAACTCCTAAAGTGTTTTGTGGACTCAAACACCCACCCCTCAATTGACATTTTCATTTTTTGGTGAACTATCCCTTTAATGATCATTGACTTGTGTATCATCTCACCAACAGCTTTTATACCATCTAAGGCCACTGTCCAATTTTCAACTCTCTATTCACAAACCAGGGGAAAAGGTCAACTTTGGCAGAAACAACCTGAAGTTTGACTGTCAAAATTTTCACGTTAGATTTGCAGCTGCCCACTTTACAAAGATCCCAAACATAACCATTTTTTTTTGTTGTGGCAAAACTGTGCCAAACAGGAACTGATTTTATCCACAGGCAACCATGCCATTTGACTTTGACTGTAAATCCCTTCAATTACAGGCTGAGCAAACCCAGATTCTTTTGCTTGGTCGGCCTCGGTTTGGTTTGTACTTACAGTCAGAACGGAGGAGTTACTGGCAAAGTGAGTCTTACGGGAGCCAGAGAAAAGGAAGAAGAAGAGGACGAACGTGTTATGGCACAGATTATCTTACCTGATTCATAAATGTTTACTTCTGGTTTCCAGGCATCCACTGGCTCCACTGCATAGATAATATCATACAAGCTCAACGTTAGCAGATTTCGCAGGTACCTTATCTAACAACAACACTCACCATGGTTGCTCTGATAAAAGTGTAGATTTGTTTTCGTGATAAATTCAAAATTGTGCACCTTTTTTGTGAACTCTATTCTCAGAATTAGAAAATGAATGCAGTGGCCTTTAGGAAAATCACACTATTAACTGAAGAGAAGAATTTTGTCCAAGACGCCACCTAACACTTCATAGAAACAGATGTTTGTAGCCATGGTAACCACTGCTCACCTCGAGTATGGGTCGGATCCACTGCCGTCTTATGGTTGACATCTGAGTCAGTGGATCGTGGTGCTAAAAGTTATGACATGATCAGTCAGTGACGACAGACACGTGAAGCAAATGTAAAGACATCATGGAATTACAGCCAATTCCGATTGAGTCCACGTTGTATTTATTACACACGTGGCAGTATTTCTGTCTTTCTCTGTGAAATGGCTCAGCCGCTCAGGCATAGATTACTTCTTTCACAGGTTACAGGTGTTACAACAATAATTTAAGAAACACTAAGAGTCAAAAAGACAATGACACAACCTAATTAATTTAAACACCAAATGAAAGAGGAACAGCATAAACAGTGGTCATGACTGAAAGCAGTTTTTTTTACAATACATAATCCACACATATGAACCCCAGGACTTGTTAGTTCCCAGAAAAGAGAATAGAAGAACACTTACGGTGCGGTCCAAAGTTATAATACCAGCGCTCATACTCTGAGATATCAGGCCTGTGATCCCGAGCTAGAGGAGGATGTTATGAAACCTGTTAGTGTTCCTACAATGAACTTCAGAGAGAAAAAGCACACATTTCCATGGTTGTGATTGGTCAAATGTTCTCCCCAACCAATCCCACACCAGTGAAAACAACGGCTTTGTGCACAAACATCACCTCACCGAGTCTCTCTCTCATCTTTCACATGCCTTCTACAGGAGTTTCTCACATGGCAGGCAGATGGCATGTAAACGCCTGAGAGACACTGCATGTACTTACACGTGGAGCCAATTCATCACACACAGCACACGTTTGGCAGATACCAAACTGTATCAGTCACACAGACATGCACATGCAACTTAAATGGACGCTGAGTGTAGTACCCTGCCACAGAGAGTGGGGGCAGCACACACCAAACTGTCACGTGCACTCCCAGAGGGAGGTCGACTTACCGCCGGTGTCAGGTGTGTCAGTGTCGCTCCATGTGTATCCTGAGTCTGGAGCTGCATAGCTAACATCTGAACGCACAGCAGAGAAGGTGCAGGCATCAGGGTTACATTCAAGGTTTTAATGTAGCCCTGTTCATTTTTACTGTAGGTGACAATTCTAAAACGTTGCTGTTGGCACTTGGTTAATACATTTATCAAAACCCCTGCGTTTAATATTTGCTAAAGAACGATGACCATTTCTTTGATACCTGATGGACGTCGACCTCCAGGGAACCAATCGGGACGAGGGAGGGAGGGGGCCGCCCAATCCCTTCTGGGAAAAGCTGTGCAGAGTGGGAAGATTAGAAAAGCTGGTGCTCAGGAGAATCATGCTTGTGACCTCCACTAAACCCGCCACATTATTAGTGGGGTATGCACGAGGCGTTCAGACACCATACGTACAATCCGTCACTCACAGACAGTCACTAAACGGCTAAAGGTTATTTCAGTGGAGTCTTTCTCTTCCTACCTGCAGACTAGAGAGACAGAGGGAAACATATGTAAATCTGTTTCTCATTCGTTTTGTGTTCTCCATGTGCTGCTCCTGGCATCACAACTTGTTCACATAACCTCAGAGTTTTTCTTATACTTGGCAGGCAGTTTAATCTATTAGACTCTTGCATGGATACAGGTGAGCTGAGCAAAACCATAACAGAGCATCCCATCCATCCTAAACTGACTGAGCCATGACAACACACCTCGGCTGACCCCTCCCTGCAGTGTAGCTTACAAAAACACCCAGCCAGGGTTCTAAGGTTCCCATCCAGTGGCAGCCAGTGCTGTTGACTGGGTCGGGCCAGGAGAGCCCAGCCAGCCGCCCAATGGAGCGTGAGAGTATTATTCTAAATCTGGTGTCAAACTAAGGACAGTGTAGATAGCGGGACACAGAGATTAGTCTTATCTGATGCTGGTCAAAGACCCAGCGCTGTAGAGCAGACAGCAGTGTTGCTTTTTCTGATGAAACAGGTGCTTTAAAAAGGATTCAATTAACTCTCAGGTCATAGCCACGCATTGATCACTGCGGCCACAAGGTCAGACTAGGATCAGGGATGTGATCCTCGACTCGAGTTGTAACTAAAGCTACAATATGCCTGCAGGAGTGTTATACACAAACATGGGGCCCATCAATCAGAATCACAGGGGCTTATCGGGAATCTTTTGTGGTTGTCGAGTAGTCACACCTCACAATAAAAGCAAGGCTAAACTGGATCGTAACATTTCCAGAAGGCTGAGCAATAAAATGGAACATCTGTTGGGGGCAGCTGGGTGGCAAAGTGACTCTAAACCTGTAAATCAGAGTTCAGAACTCTAACATCTCCGAGCATCCACCCGCCTGTCTGCAGTATCCTTGAGACAGACATTGAACTGCTGCCGGCTCCAGGGGCGCTGCTGTGTAGCTGATCCTGGCCTCTGACCTCTGACTTCAAGCATAAAGAATTTCTCTAAGGGGATCAATAAACCTTCACATTATTATCTAATAGCTGTTCTCCCTTCTCTTCTGTAACGTGTTGCTACAGTAACAAGCTGGTCAGATAAATGATGCACTGACTGGAAACGGCTCACGCTGCATTTCCGACCACCATTTAAATAGATATAGTCCTGTCTTATTTTAGGGATCCATGGTTTTGCATTCCACAGAAGCAAAAACAGGAGCGCATTCCTCAGTGAGCCAAACCTCGCCTGGTTTGAATGGCGAGAGAGCTTTCTATTCCTGACAGGCTGCAGAGTGGACCCAGATCCTGCAGCGCTGTGGACTGGACCAGGCGTCTCTCTCTGGGATCAACAAAGGGCCACTTGGTGCTTCATCTCACTTTCCATCTCTGCGAGCATTTACAAGGGAGGCGAAGAGGCCAGACCAGATGGGATCTGTCATAAGATGCTATTACAGTACTGACAGAGCAGGTTTCTCATCGTGGTCTCATCTGAAGGAGATAGTCCAGGGCTCGTTATCGCCTCACACATCGTAGAGATATGGTACAAGATGAATGCAGGACAACCACCTCATCACTCATCTTTGAGCCATATCGAAGTACTTACTGCCCGATTTCATGCTGGATACAGTGAAAGTCGAGTATCAGCTTGTGTTCCCGCCCGTCGTTTTTATAGAAGACTGGCTATGCATTGTAACACAGCATCCCCACAGAGGATAAACATTAGTGCAGCTTGATATAACATTTCAACCACAGTTTTACAGCCCTGGCTCTTCGTCTGTTTGATCAGACACATCAACATTTCCACTTCAGTGTGTGTGTGTGTGTGTGTGTGTGTGTGTGTGTGTGTGTGTGTGTGTGTGTGTGTGTGTGTGTGTGTGTGTGTG